AAAAAAAAAAAAAAAAAAACATTCCAAATATAAATATAACTTAGTATAAATTATCTCTCTTCATAATTTATTTTAACAATAATAATAATCCTCCTTTTCTCCTGATACATATATTATCAAAGAGTGAAAAAATTTAGACAAAAATTATTTTTTTAAAAGAAAAAAAAAAAAAAAATACAATTCTTTGAATGATTTTAATTTAAACAAGAGAAGCATTATCTGAAATTCATATATTTCGGGAAGAAAATAGCATCACAATAAAAATTAAATTCTGCTCAATAAAACATAATAAATTACTTTTCGGAGACTTAAAGAGGTAAAAGCAAAAAATCCCTAGATTTTTCAAACATGTTTGCCTCATTTATTTGGTGTGTTTTTCAGGATTCGGCATTAGTGCAGTCGTGTTATTTCACACTCAGTAGTGGCATGTTACTTAAAAAGGTATAAATGGAAATGTAACTTCTTACAGTAGTTGTCTTGTTTACATCGTAAATCCCGTGCATGAATTCTGGGTGACCCAAAGTTCGGTGACGATGGATGTGTTTTAGGACAAATTGTCTCCATTGACAGCCTAAAGTTATTAGAATTCTTTAGAACTTAGGAGATGGGTCGAGGTATGGAAACAATGCTAACGCCTGTTCTGGAAATGTCTTTAAGAAAAACTACAAACAAGCCAATAGCTAATAGGGACTGCAAGATAAAGAGAGAGAGAGACATATTTTGTGCGATTACGATACAATAGCGATCGTAGATAGTGTACGCTATATTTACTATGTACTTGCGGGCACATTCCAACATTATACTGGTACAATTTCATTGCTGAACTGTAATTAAATATCCTTAGTTTTATTCTGTTTTATTTTTGTAATTTTTAAATTAACTTAATAAATAAGTATTTGTAATTAGCACAAGTTTTGGTTTCGTTCTTTATTGCGGCATTTAATCATATGTATCGCCCTTTTTGTGCACTGTTTATCAATAAGCCATAAATTAAAGGAGCAGATTACATTATCTACACTTATAACCGTACGAAATTTAAGTACTAGCCTCCCCATCGCAACGCACATGATTATCACGCACATGTTCCTTTAAAATGTCAACCAGTACTCTAAACTCAACCAATCTAATCTTGATCCACTATTATTTAAGTAAAATGTCTGTAGTTTTCAATCAGTGAGCATGATTTAGTTTCACGAAAAGGGCAAAGTATAAAATACTTTGGTTATTGACTAATTAATAGGAGAGGTAAAGAATTATTAGTGAATCACACTTTTTAAGAGAGATCAGCCTACTTTAAAGTTTTGATTCAAACTTTGAACGCTGTGACACTCGATGAGTAATGCTAACAAGGTTCAATCATACATTTTAACATGTGTTTAAAGAAAATGTTATTCGTGATTAATAAGCGGTACCAATTTCTTTCCTTTAAAAATAAAGCATGATATTCCACATCAATTTTATTTTTTTCATCAATGAACTATTATGTTATGTATGAATACTGAAATAAACGAACAAATAATACATTCAACTAGGTAAATATTTTTAAAAAAAATCAAAAGTCATTTTTGGGAAACAAAATATAAAGACATAATTTTTTTAGTACATAATAAGTGTTATCGCGTTGCATTCCTTATTTAAGGATATTTGCTATTTGATTGTATGGTATTGATGTAGGATTCGATGCTAAAAAACAATTTCACCCAAGAGCTATTCACATAAGAGCTATTCTGACTACACAGCTTTACATTCAAATATCGGACAGCAATTCTTACCACACAATAAGTAGCTTAATAAAAAAAGCCTAACCCAGTTGTTCTCAACTTTGTTAGTGCCCCGATCCATTTTTAACACTTTCCAAGTTTTGGTACCCTATTATAACTTGACTTTATAAGACAAATGTTGAGAAAACTGGGATGAAGTATATCTTTTTAGAATGTAATATGTGTCCGTACCGTACTTTTGAGCGGGAATTGGGAAATAACTGTTGAAAGGTGAAGAGTTCCGAAGAGAATGTTTTTAAGTAAATCCAATGAAATATTTTAGATAAATTCACACACAAAGGTATAGTTTTAAGTAGACGTTAACATCTTTTACGTTTATGCTAAAACAAAACATGACCAAACCATAAAGCACAAGAAAACTATAATCCCATACTTTTAATTGTTTTATGAAAAGAACTTGAGGAAATATTTATATAAAATTTGCTGCTGACATATACGGAATGACTGATAGAGTTATATATACATTTTTTTTCTGTAACTAAATTAAATTCGGTGTTTAGAAATATTAGGAAATAAGTCCAATCATTGTAAATAATATTTAAATACAAAAAAGGTATTTTAAATAAGGAACCATTTATAATTTACACATACTAAGCTGAGTTTTCTGAAATTTGATATTGGGATACCCACAAGGTGGCAGTAACCCACTTGTTGAGAACTCCTTTTCTAATTCATAAAAATATAATAAATAAAACATGGAGTGCATCTTCACTATATCCCATAGTTTACATGGTCACTGGTTGGTAGCAGTTTTTATTTTGATTATACCAATTTAAGAATATAGTTTTGACAAATATGCATATAATCATAATGATGATACAAATCGTAGCTTTCCTTCCTTTAAGCCGATTTTTAAAGACATACACAACCAATCACAATACACCGACACTCATAGGCACTACCACACACATCTTTGCCTACTCAATTCGTTAACCTGTCAGCTTGTAAAATAAAATAAAAATTTAAATAGAAATTAGCATGTTTATAAGATATTCATTTCGCTAAGACAAACAAGTTAGTTTTCAGAGATTTGAAATTCCATTTAGCACCAATCCCTAATACGTTTCCTGTTACTTATTTAATGCAGTTGAAATGTAAAAAAAAATATAAAGTGAAAAGAAAATATAATAATAATAATAATAAAGTTTATATGATTTCAATTTTCATTGCTCATCATTGTTTTATATCATACAGAGGTTTTATTTTGATCATTTAATAAATTTTACTTGCTCTTAACACACTTCAAGATAAATCATTTTTAACAGAGGATTCCGAAAACGATTCCTTATAAGAATCTAACTATTTTAAACCTAATATACTCCTCATCCCGCACTAAAACTAGTAAGGACTCTCTTCCATTTTCATATTTTGCGTTCTTCGATTTATCAAACGGATGAGGACTTTGTTAGCAAAACACAAGATGTGTCCGATATTTATTTGATTTAGAAATTACTGGAAAGAAGTAACGCAAAATTCTCCATGCTTATTCCTCTTAAACTCTATCCGTGCACTGGCAAATTGCAGAAAATATCTGAAATCAAATATATAACGTATTTCTTGATCAAAGACATGGCTAAACCTTGCGGGATGAAATACACTTTAGAGGTGCAGACGTAGAAGCAGAACATCATCTTGTAACATTTAAAATAAGCATGAGGTATATTTTACAGGCAAGTGAAGTGTGCAATCCAAACATTTGAAACTGGCTTCATCTCACTATTTGCCAATAACATCAATTTAAAACCCAGAATAAACAAATCAAAATAGGAAAACCATTTTGAAAAACCAAAAATGAATTTTAAAAAAAACTAAAATGTATTTTAAATATTTACAGAGGTGTTAAAACCAATACCTGACATTATATTCAGCTGAGGGACACAACTGTCTAGTCTATCGGTACGATGAATAAAATCCCAATTCACAAGAACTGATCTCAACTGGATTGCTCAAAGTTTAAGAGCAGCCGGCCACAAATTTTTTACCACAAATATGATTTTTTAAGTCGAATTTACACCCACTAGATTTAAAATGATGAAAATCATAGACAATTAAATTTAAAAAAAAAAATTAACTCTATTAATGTGGAATCAAAATGTGTAAATTTAAAATAATGCTTAAATTTTTTATTTTTTTAAAATCCTTATTATGCAACAATATAATATCTTTGACACTATTGAGTATTTAAAATGTTTACGCATTAAATTTCATTTGGATATAACAATAACACAAATACAGTCATTTTGGGGTAAAGGGATATTTTTTTCTGCTGTGTTTTTTAAACCGGTTGTTAAAATGCATCACCAACTTCACCGCACGTCAAGTTAAAACATACATTACATTGTAAAAGCAGTTAAACGACAGTGGAACGAAAGTTATAGAAAAAAGAAGACAAATAAAGTGGATAGTACAAGCACATTACCCAAGGTCATCTTTTTGTGTTTTTTTTTTTTTTTTTTTTTTTTAGTTTAAAGCATATTTTGGACAACTTGTTTGTTCGGAAGTCTCAATAGTGGAAGATTTTCGTTTTTTTTTTTTTAAAGTGAGTTTACAAAATGTGTTTAATTCATTTTTTGTTTTGTTTCGTTGTGTCCGCTGAAAAAGGCATCTAGCTTAAACGTCCTTTTAATGTTCATAACTTTTAGATTCAGGACTAAACATAACGTTCTGAAATATCTTTATCAAATACCTTAAACGCAGTCTCATAAATTATAACCGTTTATATCTACTTGCCTCAATTGTTAATTTATTAAAATTAAACTCATTACATTCTTGTTACATCAAGTTAAATGGAAAGGAAATTTCGAATAATACCTTTAAAAGATATGACTTTAATGTTAAAAATGAATAAAGAGCCCTTTATGTTTAATCAATTTATAAAATTAAGACGAGATTAAGTACCCTTACTATGTAACTCGATTGGACTTTCAAAATTGCAGTTTTCAAAATACCAAACTTCAAGGGAGGGGGTCGGGAAGGGGTTGGGGGAAGGGAGGAAATACGGGATTTCGTGGGTGGGGTGGGGGACATAAATTAGTTTTAAAAATTGCATTTTTGTTAGGGGTAAAATAGGTTACCCATTACAGTTGATAAAAAATCAAAGTAATACAAACAATAAAAACCGCAACTGTCCGAATATAAGGCAAACTTTTTCACAATACCTTTTATTCCAATGCAGAAAGATTTCCCTATTCGTAAGATTGATCGTAATATTCATCACACAATATTGTCGATTGACCCGCATTTTTTTTTAACTTAGCGTTCTGTAGTATATGTATATCCACATTAAGTGCAATACATTAAACAGACGCAATCCAACAGACGCAATGCAACACAACATTTTTATATCATTCTTCTCATTTATAGCCTATGCTTTTAAGCGATTTGAACAATGCTGGTTTGTGATAATACACCAACGATATCTTACCTCTAGAGAGTTTGCGTATGCCCTCTTATCATTTATGATTTATTTATTTTTTTAATGTTAACTATTAAATTATTTAATTTGAAGTCAATTAAAAATGCATGATTTGATTTTAAAAAAAAAAAAAACAGTAACCCATTTGATATTTAAAATAAATAAAAAAATGTATTACCAATTTTATTTTTTACGTTTCTTTTTTTTCTCTAAATCTTTTCTGTAACTGTTTGCCTCATTTTCTTTGTTTTCCATAGGCGTAAGCAAGTCCACAATTTCAGCATGACCATTTTCTCTGGCGTACATTAAAGCAGTTTTGTTTTGATGATCTCTTTCACAAACAGCTGCTTTATTTTGTATCAGCAGTCTACAAATGTCTGCATGACCCTGTTTGGAAGCCAACATTAAGGCGTTGGCACCAGTGATGTCTTTTTCGTTCAGATTGGTACCGTTTTTAACAAGCAATTCCGCCGTCTCCGAGTGACCTTTTTCACATGCGTACATTAAGGCATTTAGACCTAAATGGGTTTTGTCATCAACATGTGCTCCCTTTTTAATGGTAGTTTCCACAGTTTCAGTTAGTCCGTGTATAGATGCCAACATTAAGCATGTCAGGCCATTTTTATCTCCTTTTTTAACCTTAGCTCCCTTTTTCAACAGCATGCTAGAAATGTCCACATTGTTATTTTTCAATGCAAACATTAGAGCTGTCATTTGTTTTGAGTCTTTTCTATTTACTTTTGCTCCATGTTTGCAAAGATAATGAACAACTTCAGTTTGACCTTTACTTGATGCGAGCATCAAAGCGGTTCGAGCAGATGCGTTTTGAGCATTGACTTCAGCTCCCTTTTTCATCAGCACTTTTATTGTTCCTTTGTGTCCATTTTGTGATGCCAACATTAAGGGTGTGAAGCCATCGTTGTCTCTTTGGTTTAATTCAGCTTTGTGTTTAATCAGTTTCTGAATAATCTCAGTGTGTCCCTCTAGAGATGCGAACATTAAACACGTAAAACCTTTGTAATCTTTTAACCGGACGTCAGCATTGTGTTGCAAAAGTAACTCGACAGTCTCAGTGTGTCCATTTAGAGATGCAAACATTAATGCATTTTGTCCTATCACCGTTCTTTCATTTATTAAAGATTTCGTTAACGTTTTATTACTCCAATCTTCTATTATTAATTTAACAATATACGTGTGTCCATTTTTCGATGCACACATCAATGCGTCCATGCCATCTTTATTTCTATATCCAGCGTCAGCTCCTTTTTGCATAAGCATTGCAACTATGTCAGCATGTCCGTGGAGCGACGCAATCATCAACGCTGTTGAACCAATCTTGTTTGTAGCATTAACATTTGCATTATTATCAATAAGCATCTCTGCGATGTCAGTTAATCCTTTGACAGCCGCTAACATTAAATACGTCATTCCTTGCGATGTTTTCTCTTCACAATCGGCGCCGTGTTCTATCAGCAGTTCAATAAGTTTTGTGTTTTTGGCTTCAAGTGCGTGCATTAGTGGTGTCAAACCATCTTTGTCTTTTTTATTGATATCTGTATCACTTTGTATTAGCATTTTGACATCCTCCAATTGCCCATGCAAGCATGCATCTATTAAAGCGCCTGCCTTGTCATTATTATTAGTGCCACTATCCCGGACAACGAAATTCACCTGAAAACAAATTACATATATAGGGATTTTTTTTTAAATTACAAAGATCATTAGCTAAATTAAAATATATAATAGTCTATTTTAATTTACTGAATATGTTCATAATTTTAAAGAGAATCGTTAATTAAGACCAGTAAACGTTTATAGGAAATACAGAACATTCCAATAAAAGTTTTGACTTGATTCCTTCGTTAGCAGACATGAAATAAAAGTAATAATTCAAAAAATTCAAAGACGTATCATGTCGGAAGCTGTCATAGTATTGACAAGGAAATAATGTTGATATGGTTTAAAAAACAGCAGCTCTTACATAAAAAAGAGATTCAAATACTAGATTTGAAAAATAGATGGATATATTACAGATTTACCGCTTATTTTCGTGCAAACACACACAAACATATATATGTATATATATATATATATATATATATATATATATATATATATATATATATATATTCTTTCAGTAACAGTTATCATATGTATTAACGATAACAAGCAGCTTGCAAAAATGTGTATATTGCACTTCAAAATTAATATTATATATATAAAATATATATATATCTTTTTTATATGTAAAAACACACACACATATATATATATATATATATATATATATATATATATATATATATATATATATATATATATATTCGTTCAGTAACAGTTATCAAATGTATTAACGGTAACAAGCAGCTTGCAAAAATGTGTATATTGCACTTCAAAATTAATATCTTGCATAAGAATACTACCAGAGTATGTGTTCATTCATTCTTTTAACTTTTTTTTTGGCTTAAAAATTAACTTTTCTTAAATACATTGTAACCGACGACCGTTATTTTTCCATTGACTAGAGTTTATACTCACATTAGGCCTGTAATTTGTAGTCTCTTTTTCTAAAATAAAAGTTTAAAAAAACAACAATTAATTTCACACTATCAATTGTCTTATACTCATTTAAACAATAGCCGGTATGGACATCACATTAACTACTTAAACTTGTTTTATTCAAAATCTTAATAAAAAAATTGCTTTATATATATTTTATAAACTTTTTCGGTGAAAAAAATGTACAGCTTATTTTCTAAATCTAAAGGAAAAAAAAATGTTTTGCTTATTTCACTAAATATTTCATTAGATTCGGCGAATGTTTGAAAAAAAAAAAACTTTTTTCTTGTCTCAACGTACTTGAATGTAATATTCATTAAAACATTGCACATAATATCTTGATTTGTCATTGGATTGACCTTGTCACCTTGCTTCAGTTATAATCAGAAGTAACTGTCAGTTTCTTTAAATTTGCATTGATAAATTATGTTAGTAAAGAATTTGAAATTGTGGCATAAATATTGATTAATGGAAACCACGTAATTTGTACCTATCTCAAACGTCTCGTGATTTAAATTATTTTGAAAATATGATTAATATGTAATTGAAAATAACATGCAATTTAAGACATAACATTAAATACAGTTTTTGTTAAAACGATTTACAGAGTTTTTTTTTTTTTTTTCTAGAATGTTTACTCTACTACTAAATATAATACGACTGATTAAGTAACGACTGATTATTGCCCATTTAAAACAAGATAAGTAGTAATTTGTTATTTTATGAATGATTATCTTATTTAGAAAGATTTAATTTCTTTAAAATATCCATTTTTAGATGAATATCTATTCCGAAAACGAAATTAAGCACGAGCTTTAATATTGATTTTTGATATGGTGTCTTTATCGTCCAATAAACCATTACGTTGGTTTTTGTTTTGTAAGTGTATCATGTATTCCATTAATATTTAATTTTGTCGATATGAAGAATTGTTCGCTTTTCATTTCAAACGCATTTTAAGCTTAAATTTATCTTGTATAGGCTAACAAAAACACTTTATTAATATATAAATATTTTTTTTTCCCAGAGCTTAGTTTACTGTTCTAGAGAAAATGTTTAGTGTTCTGTTTATTGTTCTTAAGTACTTAAGACCAAGAAACCATCAGGCTTGAAGAAATGCCTTTTAAAAGTAGCAGCTAGTATGTTGCCTCCACCAAGTTATTGTAAAATAGTGTTCACTGAAAATTTCTTTTAAATATAGAAATAATACCTTTGGATTTTAAGGTAACAACTTCATCAGGATTTTGCTCGAGGTCTTGTACTGGAAAGGATTTTGATAAAACATATGAATATATATATATATATATATATATATATATATATATATATATATATATATACATAGTATTTTAAATGATATATTGCTTAAGAATGACATACCATTTAATAACATAAACATATTGATGACGTGATAGCGATTCCCTTATTTATTTAAACAAAATTGTCAAATTTTGTTCTTCAATAATAAGACCATAAATAAAATTGTTTTTAACGGTTTTATTCTATTTTATAAACTGGCAGAACCGGAAAAAGTAAAATGTCTGTTTTCATCAATTCTTCTTGTTTTAAACGCTCATGTCATTTTGTAAATATTTAATAATGATAAAACAAGAGAAACAATTGTATCCTAACTCTACAAACAAAATTAGAAAGTAATTATGACACTTTACCGACACCTTTCTGATTTTCGGTGAATTTAAGTAGAAAAATGCCTTTTATAATTATTTGTAAACATTTTGTAATATATTTCACATGATTTAATTTAAATTTGAATATAAATATCAATTACAAATATCATCGGTTTACTAACTCTTTTAATGAGGATTAAAGTCAAGGGAACTGGCTGTCTTTAAAAATCCCAGCTATGATTTAACCTATGGAAATAATTTATTTCCCTTCAAATATTCTTTTTATTATCAAACTTATTTATTTATGGTAATATTTTTATGGGTAAGATATTTTATATTTACTTATACCAAACGAAATTTAATTGATTAAAAATAATAAAAAGTTCAAAATATTCTCTTAATAGCAGTACCTATCCACGCGTTATATGTCGTTATACATATATAACTTTAACTAACCTTTCTTCATATGGTTTGAGATGATTTTCTGCAGACTTAACACAAAATGGAAAGCAAATGAATATAACATACAAATAGAAGAACATCTGCTTCTACATAGATCGAAATTTGCTATTAAAAATAATAACATATATTTAGTTCTGGAAGATAAAACAAAACAATTGTAGGAGATCGTTAGTTGTATTGTACTGTATACAAAAAAAAAACAGCAACCCATTTTTAACATTTGATCAAACGAAATCTACATTTAATGATAGCGTGCACAGAAAATTCTTAACTAGCGATAAATTAGTTATTTAAGAATTTTTTTTTTTTTTTAAATAGGATTCGTAGATATATGAAATTTTTAAACGCAATAAAACGTTCGTTTAAACAAAATAGTTATATTACGTCTAATATTTTTGGGGTCTAAGAAAAGAAAAAGAAAATAGGTAAATAGATTAATTAATGGAGTTCATTATATTAACATACATTCTTAGAAGAGCATTTCTTTAGTAGCTTAGCGTAATATACTATTATAATTACCTGTATAACGAAAACAAAAAAACAATAACTGTAAGAATTCCTGTGATTAGTACAATGATTATTAATTCTGTATGATGTTTTTTGGAAACTGAGGACCAACATAAGAGAGATTAGACAAACAAAAATATTGTCATTATATAATTCACATTAAATTTTATTTTGTATTAAATTAAAAAATCAACTAAAAATGCAAAAATCATTAATATTTAAAATTATAAAAGTATTACATGTTTTCTCTAATAAAAATACGACATAATAAATAGTTGTTACGCATAATGAATAAAATGAGTATGTTTCCCATTCTTATGTCATATGTGAATACATTACTAACTTATTTTATTTTTAACTTAGACATATATTAATATATTAATATTCGCCTTACGTTTTTTACAATAATTATAAACAAAATCATGTAATTAAAAGTCATCAAATCTTTATAGGGCAATCTACTTTGAAATGAATATAATATGTATGGCAGTAAATCTTAAAGCCAAAATGTGTTTTTATATAGATTGCTAATCGTTCTAGTACACAGTGGGAATAAGTTAATATCATCGGAAAAGCATGCATTAGTTTTACGTAATGCTTCCAATCTAAACATTTATATAATTTTAACACATTGTTGTTTCTTTCATTGGACATAATAATAAGTTTACTACAATAAACATTGACGTATAAGTATAAGCATGCATTAGCTTAGGGCGTTTAGGAAAGGGTTTTTAAAAAAATCGTAATATTGTAAATTCTATTTAAGTAAATGTTCTAATGATTCCATTAAATTTAATATCCATTTTTTGAATTTAATGACCCCTCTCTTACCTGCAATGACTTTACACGTCATATTGAAAACATCCTTGTCCAATCTACAAAGGGCGTGCCTTATTTTTATCTCAGCATCTTGATTTAGTGACCGTTTAATAACAACTTTGTTTTCTCCCACATTTCTCTCATTCCAAACAGAAGAGGTTACTTCTATTACACATGGTTTTGCCAGGCCAATGCATTCAAATTCTAAATTTAAATCATCCTCCTTCATCGATACCGTACAATTATTTAAATCAGTTACATTTTCTCCATTGATTTGTAAAAAACCGGCAACATCTTTAGATTCTGAAAAAAATATCAAATATTAAATTTAAAAAAAAATGAAATAAATAATTAAATATGTCAAAATTTACATAAATATTTTGATAACATCATTTTAAAAAAACAAACAAAAACAAACAACAAAAATCAAAATTTATATGACTAATCTTTATTATTTTTGTAATGATACATTTTCTGAAGAGATTAAACTAATTTGTGTTTATCAATTACAACTCCCACCCCCCCCCGAAAAAAAAGAACTACACAAAATTATTTGATAAAAATAAAAATAAAATCAACTTTCTTTATCATGTAGGATAAAAAGTTTTAAAAGTTAAATCAAATAATTTAAAATCTTAAATAAAAAGACGTACACATTTTTAAATATAAAGTAAATAAGACTTAAATGTAATACACACCACAGATAATTGGTAAAGTCTGCTCAGAGTGGGCTATTGTAGTTAGATTATAGTGTTTTATTTCACCTCGAACCGTTGCTTCGCTTAATGCAGTTACCGCATTGATAGTCATTGAGATGTTAAACATATTTTCGGAGATCTTAGAACAATGGTAGCTGCTTCCAGGATTTTTGCTTTCCGTGCAGTCAGATTTTATATCTACAGAAAACAACTGGATACAAAATGTTTGTATTTTTTCATTTTAAAACGCATAAAGTAAAACTGAAGCTTTTAACATATGAAGTATTGCTCACTGCACTATTAAATATGTGTCCTAAATATTAAGCAGCAAAGTGTTTTATAAAATGTTAAAGGTCAAAACTGATGTAAATATTCTTTATAATATACTAACAATGCTCTTGTAGAAAACGGTTTTAATGAGTTAAACAATTAATTATAATAACTATTATTTTAATTGAAACAATATTTTTTTTAATAAAATAGGTTCTCTAATATTGAACAAATAATTAAATAATATGTTGTCTTTATATTTTATAAGCACTAATGTAATATTTTATAATAATTCTTTTAAGTATGCTTTTTGTAGCAACATTTTGGAGACTCACAGAGTTAAATAATGTACTTGATGTTGGCCTTATCTCAAAGATTACAGCTGAGTTATTTAGGAGATCCGTAGGTAAAATCACTCGTGTGTTTAAGGAAAGGATGTCTATTCCATTTAGTAGTCCATTTTCACATTTTGTATCGCAATCTTCTTGCCGAATCTTAAAGACTTCAATTTCTTGGCCTTGTAAAAATGCTGTAAGGATATTACAATTATATAATCATAAAAATCGTTCCTGAAATGTAATAGAAACATCTTCTGGCAGAATTATATATTAATATAATAAAAACTCATAAGTGAGTTGTTTTTATTTTATTTTTTTTAACGTTAATAGCAAATTCAACTCTTACATATAGTCGTTGTTACAAGCATCAAAATGTGCGCCTTCTTCAGCATGTCCTCTTTTTTTTTTTTTTACTGGAATATACTGAAAATTAAGTATTTTATTTTTTTTTTTTTTACGTTAATAGAAAATTTAACTCTTACATATAATAGTTTTTACAAGCATCAAAATGTGCGCCTTCTTCAGCATGTCCTCTTTTTTTTTTTTTTACTGGAATATACTGAAAATTAAGTAACTGGCCTGTATAATAAATTGTATATGCTTTATTACAAATAGTTTTTAATTTTAGATTACAACGCTATCTAAATAATCAGACCCCGAACCCCATTTTGAATATTTTGTATTGAATTTTAAAAAAAAAGAAATAATAATTTAATTTTAATTTTTTTTATTTTGAAGTAAGGCACTACTTTCATTCCTTTTTTGAGAGATTGATAAAATATTTAAACGCAATTCTCTAGGTTTTTATCATCCAATTTTTGCAGCAATTAACTTATTTTCAGTTCATCTATGTACTTATATACCATTTTTGATTTCGCTTCTGTCATCTTGCAGTATTCTCTAATAATATTGAGAGCATATTACCCTTACAAGCGTGAGACCCCTCTGAGGCGTGAGGTTCCCAGAGGCGTGATGCCTCCTAGAGGCTTAAGGCCCCCAAGAGGCATAGAGAGACAGCACCCATTAGGAGATGTTCTATTTAATAAACGAAATAACCATACAATTTATTTTTAAAAGATGTTAAAGTTATAAAATATAATCATGTGTGACTTAAGAAATAGTGAGTTTTGTTTCCTTTTAAAATTGACACGTTCATTTTTATTGCATTTTGTATAGGCGATTAAGAATTGTCAATGACTCCATGTTTAGCTGAATCGTTATAATACGATTGTCAATGACTCCATGTTTATATAAAACTTTATAATAATAGTGTCAATGATTACCTTGTGAAAGGTCACACTTAACTGTTTACACACTGATATGTGTGTATTGATATTACTCTGGCAAACAGCTTTGTTCTAGAATGAAGTTATACACATATACACACGTACACACGCATACACACACACAAGGACAGATAGACAACTCGGTTTCCTCCCTTCTAGTTGTGCTACCTTACATAGGGTGAAGCACATGCCGTAATTTACCGCCCAATAGTGTGTGTTCCTTAACTACACGATACGACACGATCAAAACATACATCGTGTTGGGTATAAAAACTTTGCCCCAATTTTCGTGTAGCCCTTAAGCAGTGGTTCTCAAAGTGAGGGTCGTGACCCCCTGTAGGGTCAAACGACCTTTACACACTATTTAACGAGTAATGAAACCAATGTATGCTTTGGGAGTCACCAGATCACGAGCAACTGTATTGAAGGGTTACGGCATTAGTAAGGTTGAGAGCCAGTGCTCTTAAGTGCTATATTACCTTGCACACACAAACTTTATTTTTAAACATACAATATTTTAAATGATAAGAATAATACGATGCATGATCAGCCCATTCCAACAAGTAAAACGTTTCAAATTCTTCACTTCTCAAAGGTCAACTCGTCTTCGGCGTTAAGGTGCTGTAAACAAAACAATCGATATAATAATTCAGAGCTCCGGATTGTTAACTATAAAGAAAAAAAAAAAAAAGAAGAAGTGCAAGCCAATGCTTGAATCCTTTTTAAAATAAAAAAGACCTATATAAACATAACTTGATCCACTGATTGAGATTATACACTGCATCACTTCAATTTGTTATAGTGTAGTTGCATTAATGATTAGTCGTAATGTTCCAAGTGTGACAATGCCACTAGAATATTTTACACGCAAATGCAAGAGTTAAAAAAATACAATTTGTTTTTATTTCTTTTTTTAAACAACATAGAATGTATTATCTTCTTTAATGAAATGTATGTATAAGTCATAAAGCATTTTTCAGATATTATTTTGTCTGTGTGCGTTCGTCGAATCGTAAATTGGGAGAGAAATAGGCAAGTATTTTATTGTACGACTTCTTGTTCGTAGTATTGGTTTTTCCCCTTCGCCTTCTTTACCCTGAACAAGTTCAATGCTGCGTTAACTGGGTGATAAATCCATAATATTTGCAAACGCCAGGAGCTAACCTGACGTATTAAAAGACACCTCATGCAGTGTAGCATCATTCATATGTAGCTTTAAAAATGTTATATGGGTGTTGATTTGATTTAGTTTTGTTATCTCTCATACGTATTTTGAATACTTGTCCGATTATGTAACGTGTATCTATTTTAGCGGAACACCTTTTGTTAAACATTCGGGGTACCATTTGTCACTACACAGGTATAATAAGGAGGGTTTATGTCTGGAAATGTTTTAACTTATTATGATTTTTGTAGTGGTGAGTAAAAGAAATAGATCCTCACTTTAATTTACATTTGTGTAATCTTGGCGCTTAAAATAGACAATAGCACGCGAGTCAATTATTACATAACTCATTCTTTAAAATAGTTAATACAAAGCAACATTGCGTATGACAAAATGTCGCTAATTAAATCACTGCTATTTTCCCCTCACTAGGTCCAGTCACCGCTACAAACCCTTAAACTTAGTTGTGTCCGTCGGATCACCCTACACTATTATCGACTCAACGCGCATGGCTAATGAATTATTGAGCTGCAAATACAAACGTGTTCCCAAACAGATTATAAAGCAGGATCAACTATATATTGTGGCAATCCATTTAATTATGGATATCCCAATCGGAAATTGGTCCACGGTACTGTTTAATAAATACTACTAAAGGCCTTAAATATTTAACCTTTCCCAGATATCTATCAAACCCATTACCATAACATTTTATAAATAACTCTTCACAATAACATCTCTAAATTTCCACTTAAAGAAACCATCGTCACTAGCATGTCGGTGCTTGCATTACTTGTTCCATTAACTAAAAACGTCAATACCCCAAACTCCATCATGGCCCCCTGGTCATTTGTTACATCTGTAAAGCATTTAATGTTACACTCGGTTCATCTTAATGTAACGCACAGAAAAACGAGACATAACTTCTTTAAATGATTTCCTAAGAATCAAATTAAAAACTAAAAAGTTTTGTCCACATCTCTGTTCAACATTATTTTTTTTTATGCTAAACATACTTCCTTATCACTACTAATAATATGTGACAGCTTGAAACTTTAGTGTTAAAAAATTTTTTAGACAGCAAATTGTTTATGTAATTTAAAAAAAAAAAAGAACATAACTATTTCATTTAAAAATTGTCTGGATGAGGTTTTTGACATCTTAAGTAGACACTTTTAAATCTCATTTAAAATAAAAAAATCCATACACGTGTTTATTATTATTATTTTTTTTAAATTTTTATTTTTAAACAACTATGTATTAAATTTTTAAAAAAAGATATGACGAAACCACTTTATACTTTTAAAATCCATTACGACAGTTTCTATTGTGGTAAAATTTTATTTGGCTTCCTTGTCTCTAAGTTATTTTTTTTTTACTTTCTAAAAGCTACAACTCAAAGTATATGTTAAGTTTGTAAAGACGTGTCCATGTAGCAAGTCTCATTTCGATCGGTATCCGGGAACTATTCGAAATTAATGAAGTGTCATACAAAGCTAATAACACCTTCTTATCATTCAAAGCTTTCAAAATGGTCCTCAGTGCATGTGTCGTTGACGTAATAGACAGTTAAAAGCGTTGTCTGTTAAAAGTTTTTTTTTGTTTTTTTTTTAAATAGGGTCGACGAAATGGGGTCGGCGAAGGAGTCATAGACTCCTCTCCTTGGTCGTACTTTCATTCTAACATACTATTTTTGTAATATATATTTGCATCTATACGTTTCAGAGCATTATGATTTTAAAGTTAGAAAGTTTTTATTTTTTTTAAAATAAATTCATACGTCACATATATATGTATATATTAAATATATTTACATTTACAAAGTTTCCTCTCATGACCCCCTGAGTCTAAATTAATTGAAACGGATTTTCAGTAACAGGTCTCAAACTTTTATGTCTAATAAATATTGTATAGCTATTAAATTTAAAAATGATAATGAAAGCAATTGCTAGGGACTAACTTAGTTTATTAGAAAAAAAAAAAGCCATTGTCAGGTTCTTGTAACTTAAGGGATCAGCGATATAATCGTATCGTGCAGCTATCTAAAACGCAAAATGAAGGATTACAGCCTAGTCAAACCAAACTTTAGATAATTGAACTTTAATTATAGCTTTGAACTTTTTTTGGGTGACTCGTCATTTTAAATTTACACTGGATTACTCAGTTATACGCCTGACCTGGAATATTCACTCAAACATTGACCAAAAAAAAAATATCTTGGTCAACTCTGATATATGATAAAATAATAAAAGTTTATATTATTTTCAAATTTCCATATACAAAATTGTGTACATGATTCTCTTAAATAGTTTCGTAGTCTGATACATCAGCTGAATACCAAGCGTCACGATTTTTATAGAAAATATTTTTGACTTAAGCTTTGAACGGAATGCTACTTCAAAATAAATGAAATCAGATGAGTAATTCTACCAACAGGTGATGAGTAATAGATTATGATTAAGTGTTTGTTTTTAATAAACGTGACCAATTTCACAACTTCTCCTTTACAAAGAAACATTTTTATTGTGTTTGATCTTATTTATAGATACTTTTATGTATTGATTACTATGTTGTATGCACATATTTACATCAATGAATTTGTCCAGTTAACTGGGCATAGAATGTTAACAAAAATAAAACTCATATTTTATTTCACATGTCTCATAATTTGTACACAATGTTTAAATCAAGGTGAGTAATATGATAAAAAGTAATATAATAAAAGTAGTTCATGATGTTAATAATATATTTTTTAGCTTTTTGGATTCTACTGGATTACTTATTTTTTGATATTATATATGATTTAGGATATACGATTTAAAATACGTTCACTGTCCTAAAGCCCATGTAAAATATTTGAAAAAAAAATTATGCAGCATTTAAAGACCAAATATACCCAATACTGTTCGTTATTTCCGTCACCCTTTTCACTAGTTGACAACAACAACAAATGTGATCCTGCTAAAAGAATTCAAGAACTATGAGGTTGCTTTTACGTACAAGTCAAATATCGACTTTAGAGAATCCATTCGCATTGATGCCAATGACAAAAGTATTGGACAATGTTATGTACTCACTATGGACTGTGATAACAATTCACCTCATTATTACAACTTAAGCATACACGAATTTGATGGAACTAGAATGGTCATAGTGACGATGCTGAACATTTCTAGAAATGAGTACACGGACTCGTTGTGGATCACATCTTTACTTTCCAATAACTTTATTGACAACGGCCGGTATTGCAAATCTAAAATCTTTTGTAAGTTTACCATAATATATCATATATATATGTATATATATATATATATTTGTATATATATTTATTTATTTTTTCTAGTTAAGCACGTGCATTTCTTTGTTATATTGTCTGATATTTCCTAAGATATAAACTTAAGGGATTTTATCACAAATTAAAAAAAAAAAAAACTATATAAAAAAAGACACCACAATAAATAAATTAAGATATTTGCTTATTTAGCAATCCATCAACATAAAATATTTTTTTAAAAATAGCAGTTTAGCTAAGTTTAATTTTTATAAAATAAACAACAAGTGTGTTAAGTATGTGCAGCATTGTACTGAAGAAATAACTTGTAATATATGTACCTACATTGTCATTTATTATCTAGCCAAAGCAATTAGAATGAGCTGTGAGTCAAATATATCTGCAAATGGTTTAAATGTGACATGTTTAACACAAAGAATATACCCAAGAGGAAAATGCAATATTGAGATTTATCTTAATTTAGCTCAAGTAAGTATCATTTACAAAAAGCAAGACTTAAATATATATATTTGGGATTTATTATGAAGCTTACAATAGACATACTATTTAAAAGCTATGGTTCCAAACCTGGGCTCCATAGAACTCGAATGACTGTTTTTGTTCTCCTAAGGGGCTCTGCGGCTACGCAANATATATATATATATATATATATATATATATAAAGAGAGAGAGAGAGAGAGAGAGAGAGGGGGGGGAGGGAGAGAGAGAGGGACGGAGAGTGAG